GTCGCTGCGAGGGGTTAGAGGGGGAGAAGAAGGCGCCGCCCGCGAGCCGCCTGGCGGGAGGCCGCTGTGGGGCATTTAAGGGGAAATGGGGGAAGAAGCAAAAAAAACGGACCGCTGCTGCTGCTGCTGCTGCTGCTGCTGCCGCTGCTGCTGCTGCTGCTTCTGGGGCCGGCAGGGGAGGAAAAGCAGGAGATGTCTTGGAAATAAATGTGTTTTGTCTTATTTTAAGCGATAGTGCAAAACAAATGGCCGCAAAAGTCCGCCGCCAACGCGCATGCTCTTCTTCTGGGCAGGGGCCCCTGTCTCAGGTGTACATACACCTCAGATTAAGCACACCCGCCACTGCCGCCAGCCACCGCCATCTTCATTTATATTTCTTTTTGTTTTATTTTTCATTTCTAATGCTGCGGAGGCCCTCAGGGGGCCCCGCGGGACCCGCAGCTCCTCAGGGGCCCCCGGCGTTGTGACTGGAGGGGGCCCCGGGGCTGGAGGGGGAAACATGCAGCAGTTTGGGGCCCCTGCATCTGCGCTTTTTGTTTAATTTAATTTAATTTAATTTAATTTAATTAATTTTATTCATTTGGTTTTAATTTGCAACTTTTAATTCAACTTATTTACTCGGAGCTTCCCACAAAACCCGTCGCCCCACGCAGCCGCCTTCGAGCCTTCGATTCATACTCAGCAGTCCTTAACAAACCCTAAACCCCAAACCCTAAACCCCAAACCCTAAACCGTAAAACCTAAACCCTTAATGCTTCCGGGGGCCCCCATGGCGCTGCAAGCTGCAGCCGCTGCCTCCGACGAGGGCGGGGAGGCCTCCAGCAGCAATTCGCAGGCGCAGCACCCAGGGGGCCCCCAGGGGGCCCCCCCGGGGGCCCCCCCGCGGGCCCCCCATGGGGTCCCCCCGGAGGGGCCCCCCGGGGGGCCCCCCGGGGAAGTTAGGGGCCCCTATTTGCTGCACGTGAGGATTTACAAGGCGCCGGAAGTGAGTGGGAGTTGGAGTGTACGTACAGCAGCAGCAGCAGCAGCAAAGCTGCGGTTCTTCAACCCCGAGGTGCAGCTGGTGCCGCAGTCGAAGGCCCTGCAGCAGCTGCTGGGCCTCTCGCCAAGCAGCAGCAGCAGCAGCAGCAGCAGCAGCAGGTGGAGGGGCATGAGCTACGAGGCCATCTGCGAGCTGTCTGTACACCCCGTGGTAGCAGCACTGGCGCAGCAGCTGCTGCAGGGCTGCTGCTGCTGCTTCCCCACAGAGACAGTTTATGGGCTGGGAGCTGCTGCAACTTTGCGGAGTTCCATTTCGAAGATCTTTTCCATTAAACAAAGACCTGCTTCCGACCCTCTCATCTGCCACGTGGTCTCGCAGCAGCAGGCGCTGCAGCAGGTGCTGCTGCTCGACGACCCCTGCAGCAGCAGCAGCAGCAGCAGCAGCAGCGGCAGCAGCAGCCTCGTCAAGGTCTTCCGCTGCCTCACGGACGCCTTTTGGCCGGGGCCCCTCAGCATCGTGGCGCGGCGGCGGCCGCTGCCCAGCAGTCCCGCAGCAGCAGCAGCAGCCCCAGCAGCAGCAGCAGCAGCAGCAGCAGCAGCAGCAGCAGCAGCAGCAGCGGGGGTCGCGGAGGAGGTGACCGGGGGCTCCGACTGCGTGGCCGTGAGGGCCCCCCACCACCCCCTGGCCCTGGCCCTTCTTGCTGCAGCAGGGGCCCCTGTTGCTGCTCCCTCAGCAAATCGATTTGGCCGCATTTCCCCCACAAGTGCTGCTCACGTGCACAAGCAGTTCCACCTGCAGCACTTCACCTGCAGCAGCAGCAGCAGCAGCAGCGGCGGCGGCGGCGGCAGCAGCAGCGGCGGCGGCAGCGGCAGCAGCGGCGCGGTCCAGCAGCGCGAACGAGACCAGCAGCAGCAGCAGCAGCAGCAGCAGCAGCAGCGGGTCTATGAGCTGCCAGTGCTAGACGGGGGCGAGTGCTGCTTCGTGGGAATCGAGTCAACTGTTGTCAAACTCTTGCTGCTCCCCAATGGGGGCCCCCAAACCCCAACAGGGGGGCC